AATTATGCATGGACTGTCAAAAAAGTCCTGGACGGACAAATAACCCAAATCAGCAGCGTCAACACTGGCTGTTCGTCTTTTTGTTTGTTTCTCAGGGTTTTGTTTGGCAAAGAAAGTGACAACTGAGAGCGATGTGAGCCGCCGGTCGCTACAGCCCTCTGCTGCTTCCAGGGAATCGTTTCTCTCCGGTGACGTTTACGGCCACGGGCAGAGGTGGGCAGTATAAAAGACACAGGTAGAGGTGTGTGTGTGTGTGTGTGTCTAAGTATGAGTTATCTGATCAGGCACATCTATACTTCATCAGAGAGAGAGAGAGAGAGAGGGAGAGAGATAGATAGATAGATAAAGAGAGAGAGATAGCAAAGGGGAGAGAGACAGTGTGCCTGCATGCATGGAGAGGTGGTCATGAGTTGTTAGTGGTTGAAATTCTCAGCGGTCTACATCAGAAAAAAAGGCCACACAGACTCTGGCACTGCATTACTATTATAACCAGCTACAGTAAAGAGCCAGTTAGTAATAGACCAAAGGAGAATGACTCCACAGATGTGTCTGTGTGTTCTGTATGTGTGTGTCCATTGGTTCTGCAGAAGGCTTTAAAAAGAAGTGTGCTTTAAGTGAGAGATTAAATTAAAAGAAATAAAAAACAACGACGACAACAACAACATGCATGTCCAGTTCTTCCCTCTAAATATCTGTCATTGCAACAAGTCAAGTACAACCACGTTTATCCACTCAATCCTTAATCAATTCCCTGCTCCCAACCCTGCGACCTGGTTCAGCTGGACTAAGCCTTCTGTCTTTTTTTTTATACGACTAACAAAAATGTGATGGGATGATTTTCTGTACACAAATCTTTGCTCTGTTGGACTGTCCCCTGGAGAGGAGACAGGACAAGCTCATGGGGGTCCAAAAAGTGAGGGCAGGAACCAGACGACACAGGTTAGAGGGCCGGCAGCGTAGGTGTGTATTTACAGAATGACGCAGCAGTTACTCTCTCCGGTCTTCTCTCTGTTCCTTTGACCTGAGAACACACACACACACATGTGATCACTAACCCTTTTTCCCATTTACAGCTTTCACTTAAACAAACAATGAGGTGTTTAAACAGTAACGGTGTTTAAGTTTGCCTGCTGTGTTCTAATGTAAACACACACAGATCTGACATGACGACCTCGGTGAAATTAGAAAGACGGCTGATTTTTAGCTAAGAACAATAGTTACTTGTCCTTTAATTTAGAACCAGCAGAAACAAAAACCAAAAAAGTAGGACAAAAACTGCAGCATTAAATAATATGTAAAATTTCTGTAGATATATAGAAATATTCAACCACAATTACATCAAAGTTGAAACATAAATATAAATATATATATATATATATATATATATATATATTTATATATATTTATTTATTTATATTGAGATACCACCATATTATTACAACTATATTATGGTGGCATCTCAAGGTTTCAATTACTTACACCAGTGGACGCTCCAAAAATCAGAGCCATGTGTACAGTTGGAATGGCAGAATATTTAAAGCAGTCGAAAATGTGTGAAAGGCATTGGAACAGGAAAGGAGGGAGACGGGAGCTGGTTACCTTGGGAATTTGGCTCAGGCAGAGTCTCTCTGGCAACTAAATGCATCACTGTGGTCTTCCCCAAGGGCAGTTTGAGGGCTAACAGGGTAGAAGTGAGAGACACAGAGTTAGAGCTACAGTCTCTACAGTCATTCAGCATCACTACACAGCACCACTGCTAAACAATATGCCTTTTCTACATAGTACACTATTTTAGATGTAGTGTATAATAATTAAGTACATTAAAGACATCAAATTCAAACAGTGGTCCCCAACCATTTTTGTACCAATGATCGGTCCGACGGTACTGGCCTCTACTACGGATCAGTAGCACCGCACCGAGTGTTGGAGGATCATTACATTTTTCAAAATAAAACAAAAATATTATTTTGAAATATTGCCAGATTATCTTTGAATGAAGTAAATTAGTAAAAATGAAGTACAGTTTTTTAACATTTTGCGGCCCGGTAATGAAATCTGGACCGGTACTGGTCCGCACACCTGGGCTGGGAACCCCTCAATTAAAGGATCAGCCCAAGAACAGCATGTGTACATTCACTCTCCTGGCAAACTTTAAAAAAAAAAAAAGATTTCTGATTATTTACATTTATGAAGCACAAGGGAATGACACCCAGCCTATTTAATAAAAAAGACTGATTTCAGATATATTTAAAGCCAATCAAGGCCTCCAATACAATGTATTTTCAGACTTTCTTTGAGCTCCGCGATCAGGAAATATGTAAAGGTCAAAGGTTTGATAGGTTTCTACATTACTATATATTAATTCTGGCTCATCCAGTTTAACTTGTTGTACTGCATTGCTTAAAACAATGTATACAAGTGAATCCATGACATGTTGAAGATGACAACGACCCACTGAACAAATGTTTGCAGTCGATACATTTTGTTCCAGATCTCCTCATCCATCAAGGAGCGCAGACTTGTTTTTACATGACATTTCCAGGGAATCTGTGTTGGCGTGCAAACATGTCACACCTACGATTAGGAAATAATCAGACGGTTGACAGTAATGGGAGTGTAAACGGGTTAGAGACGGCCGTAACCACATTAAAAGCAGACAAATGAAAATTGGGTTAAGCAGATAAAAAAGCCCAAAAGGCCGGGCCAAGTGAAGAGTGCTGCCTCGGAAGACGACATCCATTTATTTCTGGCATTCCCCTCCCGGCTTCCTCTCTGTCTTTTTTTTTTCTCTTTGTGCTGCCTGAGATCTACCCTAATGCCAGTCTTGCCACTTTCCTGACCAGTCTCTCTGTCCCCTCTCTCTCTGTTTCCTCTCTCCTCCCTTCCCTCCCTCTCGTCAAAGCAGGCTTGTCCAGAGCACTGAGGTGCCTCTGTTCTGCGGCTCAGGAAAAAAGATGAGAACAGCAAAGAACTTTCCAGCAACACACTGCCATGATTTAGTGTGTATGTCTCTGAGCGCACAGGGAGGAGGGGGCACTCTGATGGGTTTTTTCTCACCTCCTAGTGTTACGTTGCCGTGAAGAAAACGCCCCTGGTAGATCAGCCTCAGGATGTTAGGACTGCTGACCTGTTCTTCCTCCCAGTCTGAAAAAAAAGGTGGCAAAGGCAGTATTGTTGAGTCAAGCTGGATAAAAACAAGCAGAGGTTGATACATTTTACACCTTTTTAATAATGGGGGTCAAAGGATTCAAAAATTAAGGGACCACAAGACTACACCTAATAGACATGTTTCGGGAGGAGGGACCACAAGACTACACCTAATAGACCTGTGGTGAGACCATCCCAGACACAATATGTCACCACACTGTGGCAAAAACAAGTTCTCAAAAAGCAGCCTGGATATATTTTAGGACACTCACGGCCTTTGTGCTGCATTATTACACAGAGAAGGCATCATATAATGGCCTCTGTGGAATGAACAACAGAATGTGAGAAAGACTCTGAAGGTGTGGCTCAGGAAGAGCCAAAGACAAAAGTGGAGGCATTAAATGAGAGGGGAACAGCGGGTGGAGGGGAGTTGCACAGCAGCAGAGTCTGGCCGCCAGATGTTTGTCTCCAGCTGAACGGAGGGTGTTGGTGCTGACTGAGTGAGCCCGCTCTGGGTCTCACAGGGTTCAGCGCTGTTGTCTGGGAGGAACGCTTTGAAACTGACAGGACAGAAAACTGAAAACTCAAACATCTCGAGGAAAATTTGAGTTTGAATTCAAGTACTTTATAAGTTGTTGTTTTTTTCCCTGCCGGGTGGGCTTCTCCTTAACTCCACAGCAGCGTGGGAACAGGCGGCGGTGAATGGTGTAGAGGTGGCGTGAGGTTGACTGCTCTGGTGTAGCAGCACTTTGGGAATGGGTGTATTACAGAAAGGAGATGGCTGTAGTGTGATCCCACATTCCTGTACGCAATGATAATGGGGCTGAAGGGAGTGCGATCTAATTACCCTACAGCAAAGATGTGTGCAGTCCCACAATGTTACACAGGACTACATGTGAGTAATTAGTAGTGGGCTCAAATGTGGGAACGCAGTTAAGTTGCATAGCAGTCTTTTTCTTTGCTATAAAAAACAAAGCCAGGAAAAGTCAGATCATCTGCCAGCAATTACTACATGTCAAAAAGCGAACATGCCGCAGCTGTGCTTGAGCGTCAGTGTAATTGTGAGCACGCAGTGAGTTGAAGGCGTCAGTAATATCGTAGATTCAAAGACAGGTCCTTGGTAAAGACTGAGACATGTCTGTCCAGAGAGTCCCAAATAAACTGTCAACTGCTTTGAAATGCTTTTCAACCGTCTGTAGAATGTCAGTGATTATGTTGACAGTTTACACTGTTGATCAAATGGACTTCTGTGGGAAACCAAGGCTTCCTATGTTGGCGATATCTCATATACCTCATGACCACAGTCTGGTAGCTGAAGGCACATTTGAGTCACGTGTGAGAAAAGGAGGAATAAAACCTGTGGCTCGTTGGTCTAGGGGTATGATTCTCGCTTTGGGTGCGAGAGGTCCCGGGTTCAAATCCCGGACGAGCCCAATTTTGGGGCAGTGGTGGATTGGTGGTTAAAGAAGTAGACTTGGGTCTGAAAGGGTTTCAGGTTTGAGTCCACCAGCTGCCACTGAGTTGCTCTAAGCATGGCACCGTCCCCACACACTGCTCACTGCTCACTTTGATGGGTAAAATGCAGAGGTCACATTTTGTTGTGTGCTGTGTCACAATGACAACTACTTCTCTTTCTTTCTTTCTTTCAGACTGTGGCAACAGCTTGGCTGTGGTTTTGGTCTTTAACCAGAACTGATGCCTGGTAATGGGATACATCCTCTTATTAATGTTGTTCACAGTTCCTGTAAACAATGCCCACCTTTTTACCGTCTGTTAATAATTTTCATTGTGGCTTATACTGTAGTATTTTTCCAACATCATTTGCAACACTAACAGCATTTTTTTTAATAATTATTTTTACACTTTTCTTTTGTTTATATATGCCATATTTAAATGCTTTAATGCATTTAAAGTCAAAATTACTGCGTCCTCAAACCTGGCCAATGATACTGATTGTGATTCTGGTGTATTTAAAAATATTTTTGCTTGTGCTTCTTCTTTGAGCAGAGCTTTATTGTAATAAAGAAAGTAAATTAAAATACATAAATGAATGTGTAAAATGTAACACTTGTGTAAATAAATCCACCGCACGTCCATTTATCATAGCTCTAATACACAGTCGACACACAAAATGTTATTTATGCATACTGTGGGAAAGANAAAGAGTTTTCGCTTAAAATCCCAATCTCACAGTCCAGATTGCTTTTGTGGAGGCTTCAACTTCAGGTCAGATGCCCAGCTTGCGTCAGACCAGCCTGACAGAGTCTGGGGCAGTTAGTAAGGCTGCAACTGAATAGCTGACTCACACAACTGTCAAATGCAACGAAACGGACTGTGGACTGATTAAAATTGGTGGGGACAAGAACTCTGACAGTGTTTTGAAAGAGACTCAACACGTTCTAGAAGCTACTGTAGAGATGAACAGCAATGACCGAAATCTACCAACTCTATAATGAGAATATGGGGGGAATTATTTATATTCAGGAATGTGATTTATCTTCATTTTGAGTAATAGTTATTAGTTAAAATGACAATTAATTGTGATTAATCAGATTAAAATATGTATACATTAGTACGATTGGTGTAATTTATGCAACTCTACAATAATGAAAACGTCTAAGATGCAACTCTTTTGCGTCTGTCCCGCAGCACACACGGTTTATATTTTAAAAGACATAGATAATTAACTCTAGACAGCTCCAGGATTTAAGAAGCTTTGGAAGAAAATCAGGTTTGGTTGAACATTACCCCAGGCAGAGATCGTTAATGTTTTCTTGTTTCTTTTCAGACAATTTCCAGCTAGTATCCCAGCTCATCTTTACCATGTTTGCCTCCTTATACCGTTACATGAGTGGCAACAAAACCTGAAGTGGGTGAAAGGAGATACGCACCCATGGGCCAGTTATCATAGACGTGTTTGGCGATGTCTGCAGCCGAGTCATTGGGGGAGAAGAGGAATTCTTTCGTCTTTCCGCTGACTAAAATGAGCCGCAAGTTAATCTGCAACAAAAGAAGAGAGACACATTAGGACTGGATATGTGAAACTTTTTTTGAACACATCACATTGCACAAGCTGTCCATTACACCACATTAAACAGCTGAATCAGAAACTGCGCAGATTCCAGTAATTTAATAGGAAACAGGAAGGATATGAAGACCCAGAGGAGCATCTTTCCACAGGATCCTCTCCCTCTGTCTCTCCGTCCCCCTCCCCCCCCCCCCCCCCCCCCCCCCCCCCCCCCCCCCCCTTTATTTGTTCCACACTCTGTCAACTACAGGCAGTTTGTCGTCGCCTTACATTTACCACTCACCCTTTACAATGTGGTCGAGTGGACATAAAAAGTGATTGCTATGCAATCATTACTGATTTCTACACCTTGTAAATATGAAAGGATAGATGATGGGAACAGTGTGTCATGAGCAGAGCCGAGTAAAATAATAAAAAAAAAAAAAGTCAAACTCCGAGTCACGGACTTAACTGGGCTGGAATCAACTGCATTGTGAAAACAAAACAAATACAGAAAATCAGTTTGGTTGATTTTGATTATAACGTCGGTGGTTCCATAGCATAGTGGTTAGCACGCCTGCCTCAGAAGCAGAGAGTCGTGGGTTTGATTCCCAGAGGAACAGTATGCTTGACTGTGAATCCTCCTCTTGTTAGTCGCTTCGGATAAAAGCGTCTGTTAAACATGTGAATATAAATCATTTTCGCAGACATATATTAGGACTAACTTTAACTGAAAATCTTAATGTGTGTCTGAAATGACTCTACTTCTCAATCCATCCCCTGCCCCATATTCTGTTTGTGCTGTTCATACATAAATAAATGATTAACACATCTACCCAGTCAGAGGTCAATGCACATGAACAATACAAAAACTCACTTGTTTCTGCCAGTACAGACATACTACAAATGTAAACAGCATTTAAATTACATGTTTTCTATTCTCAGCATTCATCATGTGAGCGCCGTAGTACCGTGTGGTTGGCATGGACTGTATTTAAGTGGTACAGTGTGCCTGTTGTTCACTGTATGTGTGTGTATGGCCCGCAGTGTGAGCTGGCTACAAGCATGTGTGTGTGTGTGTGTGTCATTGTGCATTTCCATGTGTAAACCATCTGTGAGGCTCCTAGACTATTGGACCCCACCCCAGCTACACGTACGCTGTTGTACAAAACACACACACACACACACACACACACACACACACACACACACAGCCGACTGCGGTGATGTAACAATTTAAACAGCAACAGGATTGAAGTGAGATCTCCGTAAGCGCCTTATCAAATCAGCTTTGAGGTTAAAGCCTCCGAGACATGTACAATCATATGAACATAGATATATAATAAACAAATTAAAATTTAAAAAAATAAAATTAAAAGATGATAACAAGACATTTCTTTATTTATTAATCACAGTGGGAAATACACTTCAAAAGTGTTTCCAAAAGATTTAAGTGAAGTGAAGTTTTATCTTCCCATTCTTTTGAACCTGGGATAATCACTCAAATCTCACGGGGTGTCCTGTAGTTTAATAAAAGAGAAGAAAGAATAATCCAATCATTTTACTCACCGATATACAGATCATTTTTATTTCTAAGATTACCAAAAAAAAAAAAGTGGAACTCTATTAATATTACAGACTGCATTTTAGTTGACTAGATCATGACAGTTCTGTTGGGTACCTTTGGGACTAAGTTGAAGTTACAGCTTAATCAAATCAAAAATAAATCAATATTGTCAACTAAGTTGAAGTTACAGCTTAATCAAATTACCACTCAGTTACCACTGATTTATACAGCCTGGATACAGCAGGTGTGTTGTCACAACAAATTGTGTTCACTTCAGGTCACACCATTGAAAAGATAACGTCAGAAATAAAGCTAATGTTGACCATGGGTGGGCCACACACTGCTCTTTTCAAAGCCGCGTCCTCTGCACCCGTGTGAACTCACATGTCAGCTGGGAGTGTGTGATTAGACTTGCTCTCGTCCACGTGCTGAAATTGTACAGTCTATAGGGAGCTTAAGAGATCAGCCAAATCAAACAGCCTCTGGTATATGTCGTGTGTGCTGCATGTATACCGTTTGAGATATTGAGTCTTTCAACGACACCGTACGCAAACACAGGAAGCCAAGCAAAATGGCAGACGGGCCTGCTTCAGCCACCATCTCCTCCTTATTCAACTCTACACAGATGAGATACGGATCACGCTGCAGGAATGTGTGGAATCCTTATGCGTCATTTCCAAGAGGAAAATAAGTTTGTTGATATACCGGTTGATGTTTTTAGCATACGACGACGTTTACGACAAAACTGGCAAAAACAGTCTTTACGAGACAAGCGCAGGAGAACGGAAGGAGCGGAGAAATGCAGAGGAGCACTCCTTACTGTCGGTGAAGCCAAGGTCTCTCTCCTTCTCCTCGCCTGAACACCTGGACGTCACCACGGTGTCACCATGGCGACAGTCAGTGGTGGGTGGCTTAACCTGATAAAACCTACGAGATAGCTTTACCCTCTGCACCCACCCCCCCCTTCTCCTCCATCCCTCTTTCCAGCCTATTTTCCACAATGTCACATCACATTGTCTTGCTCTCCATGCAGCGATCCTTCACCCACTCCCTCACACTGCCTGTGTCTCTCTCCTGCAGCCTGTTAATGTAAAAAAGAGGAATAACAGCAGGCTCTGAATCAGATGAACTAATCCTTTTTTCTCCAAAAGGTACGAACACTCGCCACGACTAATCTCGAGAATTCTACACCGTTACTTTGGTCGTCGTGTTCTTAGGAAGATAAATACAGACTGCTACCAATACACACTACACTACACCATCAAAAAATGGTTTCTTGGTGCAACACACTGGTTGTATCAATAACTGGAATAACCCCATACAGGCAGTTACTTATACCAGGTAAGTGTTTAGAGACAAAGGTTCACAAACTAAAGCTCTACCAAATATCTGTTTAAAGGGTTATTATTTGTTTTAGGTACTCAACACAATATTGATCTCAAATAGTACGCTCAGAGTGCAAGATTCTTTTGTCTGGTTTGCTGCTGGCAAGCAAATAAACAGTCCTGCTGCATAGTGTTATAAAGCTGTGAGTTATCTGGAAAGACAAAAAAAAAATCTGGTCTTTGAAGTGACTCTGCCACAACACCTGTTTGTATAAGTGAAACCATGCATTTGTATCTGTTTTCTCGGGGTTGTAAGGTGTCACTTTCGATTCTTTTAAACTTGATGTTTCTGATGTGACGGCCATATTATGCGCTATAACTTTCCATTCTTGACATATTGAGTCCCATGAGAAGTGACATTTTTTACAAGCTGACCACAAAAATGCCTGTTTCTATCTCTGGCTTAAATCGGTTGCAATGGAATTTTTTTTGAATTTCAACCTGTTTCCCAGTCACTAACTGGCCATGATCAAAACATAATGCATGAATTATTACATCTAAGTGGCAGCGGCAACACCTGTTCCCCAAGTATTTGAAACTTGTTGAGTTGAAATCATCAGGCAACCTGTGATTAGCTTTGACATGAAAAAAAAAAAGAAAATCACTGATGACCGGTTTGTTGAACTGTTATTTGTAGCTAAAAAGACGGTTTAGAGGTTTGGTTTTTACCGTTTATTGGGGGGAATTTGTTATTTCTGTTCATTTTCCTGGCGTCTCCAAATCGATCTCTTTCACCCTTTTTTTTACCCCTCCATCCTCTTTTCCCTGAGGGTCAGTGTCCTTTCTCCCTTTTTACAAAATGACTGGTGATGTTTTTTCGCACAGTCAGCTCAGGGTAATATATTCCATTACAATCTATTCCTTGTAACAAATACAGCTGCTCCAGGTACATAAAGAGCAGCGCCTCATGCATAACAAATATTCCTATGAATTACATACTGTACATGTTTCTGCAGACAAACAGTCAGCTTACTTACGCATATATGGCCTTCTTCAGCAGTGCCAGAAAAATCAACTGTATGAATCTTTTAGTAGTTGTGCAGTATGCAGTGTGTACGTGTGGAACTGCAGCATGAAGCAGCGTAGGTAAAGTGTGTTACACTTCTCCAACGTGAGCATGTCAATGTGCTGTCAAGCTCTGTAATAATGATGCTGAGACAGTCTGGTGCTTCAGCTGTCCATAAAAATAATATAGATATAGAATCTAAAAACCCCTCACTATATTACTGTGCTATGCTATGTGTTGTTGTTAATCACATCTTGATGAATTTCAGTTTGTGTGTGAAGACTGTACTCAGTATTTCCGTTGGTAAGTTTAGCATCATCCTCGGTGATGCTGGTCCGATGAAAGCTGACCTTTTGACCTGAAGTTCAAGCCCCCAAATACGCACGTCGCGCATTGAGATGGTATCTAAAGTGTAGAAAAACCTTTTCACCGCAATATGCGTAAATAACAATGTACGTATTGTACAGCAACAGTCGTTGCATCAACAGTGGAATTATTGGACATGTTAAAATGTGGAAACAGTTTCCTAACTTTAAACATTCCATTCTATTGTATGGCCTCAGCCTAATAAACACCACCACAGGTTACATAGGTCTGTACCTGATGACATGTCTGTCTGCTTGTCTAAACTCGACCGCAGCTCAGACACATAATAATGCGGCCCTGCTGCCAAGTGGTGCCATGGTGTAAACATGTAAAGTAAGCAAACCCTCTTGGCCATACAGTTATGCAGATGGTACAAACAAAGGAAATTCAATGCTGTCTATAATTATTCCTAGCTGAGCACCACTCTCAGCTGTTTCTCAAGGCGACACTGCATGTATTTATGTGTGTGTGTGTGTGTTTGTGTGTGTGCGTGTATGTTTATGTGTGTTTGTGTTTATAAAGGCATTAAAGAGCACTGCTGCTCTCAAGACCCGGTGCAGCAGTCAACAAATTACAGAGTGGGAAGCCGTCCTGTGGGAATATATTAGAGCAACTTTATATGTAGTCTGCACAGTAAGGTTAGCCGCTGCTGTCAGAACTGATTCCTGG